GAAGACAAAGTTGCCATTTACTGAGAAGGGGAAGGCTATGGGAGGAAGGAATTTGGGGGGATGATTAGAAGCTGTTACATTTTTGATGCCTAATAGACATTCAAATAGAAATGTTGAGTAGAGCAGTTGGTTATAAAGGTCTGGAGTCCAAAGAGACTAGTTGGACTCATTGGCTTAATGATGGTATTTACAGGGATGGGGCTGAATAAAGTCACCAAGAGAATTAATATAACTGAAGAAAAGATGATCAAGCCCTAGGGAGTGTTTTAAGGAGAATGGAGTCATAAACTATATTAAATGCTGTTGCATCATTAGTGTTTCCTTTCTTCCTTCTTCCCTCATTCACTCATGACTATAAACATGATAAAGTTGTGCCGAACTCAACCTACTTATGCCCAGACTCAGAATTAGATATCTTTTCTTTTTTTACTCTCATCTAAATATGTACTATAGCCTGGCTGGGTGTAGCTCAGCGGTTGAGCATTGACCCAGGAACCAAGAGGTCACCGGTTTGATTACTGGTCAAGGCTCATGCCCGGGTTTCGGGCTCAATTCCCATTGTGGGGCATGCAGGAGGCAGCCAATCAATAATTACCTCTCAACATTGATGTTTCTATCTCCCTCTCCCTTCCTCGATGAAATCAATAAAAGTATTTTTAAAAATATGTACTGTAAACCCTAAACAATGTTCTGAACTATTATGTCCCAAACTGAGCCCCACACTGCGTGATCCTGATGCAAAAAGCATACCATAGAAGGACTTAAAAAGCTCAGGCAATTTATCCTGGAGAAAAGAAGACTTTCCAGGGGAGACAATAGTTATAATCAGCTACCTGGTGTCAGAATTTAAATCCTTGACTAAATCGCTATGATTCAGATATAGGCTTGACAGAAACAACTTTTCCAAAAATGGTATGAGATTCCCAGGCAGTAGTGAGTTCCCTGTGACTTTCAACATGATGATCATACAACATTCAAAAATCATATTCTCTTTCTGGCTTTGAGATACTGGTAAATACTGTGCTGCATAGTATATGTCATATCTAGTTGATATCCTTGGTAGTGGTTGCTACGCTGTAGAGACAGATTCTGGAAATAGCTACAACACACACTTGGAATCTCACAGTCACATAATCAACCATTTTACTAAATACAAGCATATTTTCATTCACATACAGCTAAAGAAAACATTTTTTCACATTTCATTACAGTGCACAACAAAGTGAGGAAAAGTATACAGTACATTTTATTCTGGAATATGATACGATCTATTCCAACATGCAGTTGTGGTCTTTGTTACAAGTTAATCTTTTCTTTGCCTATGTAGTAAAATAGCTTCTAAAGCTTTATCCTTAGTATTGTATTAACACCTGATTTTTTCACACTTATTTTCTAAAACCCACTTACTGCAGTGACAACAGCACTGAAGTCTACTAAAATGATTGTTAAAGTTTCTAGGACTTGTTTAAGCAATTAAGCTCAGCCACCTTTGCTGGATCTATGCTGAGTATTTTAAAACCTGCCTAAAAATGCAAGGAATGGGAAAAGTATACATATAATGTATTTTAGTCAAGAAAACTGGAGAGAAGTTTTGTTTCTATCTTTTGTTTTGAACTGACAGAATCCAGTCAACTCTCATTTATCCAGTGGATAATCTTGCTTTCGGAATCTTTTAAACACAATTAAGTATAGTAGTTGATAAACTTTGTGTTAACCCAATTCACCATCTTTTATTTGTCGTCTATAATCACAAAACCGGCCACTTAATCACTCCACCCAAGCCTGGTCATGTTAAAGGAATGTAAAAATCATGATTGGTTCACTTGTAGTTGATGCTGCAGGTTGGTCCAATGCGGTTTGTTTCCATCCTTTTCATTATTTGGCTTCTTTATTCTGGCTGAAGTAAATCCCCCAACTTTCAAATTCAATCACATTCACACTGAAGTTTAACACTATATCTCAAAGCAATTTAACCATTCTCAGGCTTTCCTATCACAACGAAGATGAGAGGTCTGACTCCCATCAGACTTGTTTTCTGACTGTGAAAAGTATGGCTTTTGCCTAGCTGAACTGGCTACAATACAAAAAATAATTTAAAGCATCACATCTCTTCAAGAAGATAATTAAATCCCAAGCCAACCAGTCCAACTTTCTGATGCAGTTATCTGTCTGTTCACCTGAGAATTGAGCTGACTTTCTAGGGGAGACAAGAATCTGGTATAGGTATATGGCAAACAGATGGCCAAGGTCATTGTGAGGTGAGTATTTTGTCCCCATCCCACTTCCCACTGCTGCATTTGGTTCCTTTCAGTAATATGTTCACTGTGTTTCAGTGATAAGAACACTTCTAGCATACACAGTTCTAATGTGTTTTCAGTTGTGCAATTATTCACTTGGTGAAAGCCCTCTCTCAGTAACACCTGAATGGGCTTTACCTTTGATTCATCCCTAGGTTCCCTCAGGATTATAGCTGAGTTGTAATCAATCAGGAAACATATCCTAACATGTAGAGAGCATTTATTTACAGTCATATCTCTTCCAAAGTGAACAAATTCACAACCGTTCGTTCATCTGACAGCAGGATGATGCAGCGAAACAAGAACTAGGAGTCAAGAGACCTTCACCTTGGCCAAGTGAATCACCCGCCTCTTAGTTTACCTTCGTAAAATGGGGAAGAAATCTCACAGGCCTGTTATGATGATCAAATAAGTAATAAGTGAGTGTAATGGGTTTTGTAAGGGTTATAGCGCCTCCTGTTGAGCAGGTACTCAAGACAGGATTGATGAGTGAGGGTTTGCCTCTCTTTTCGGAGGCAATCCCTACATCGTTGCCATGACCTGAAAAGACAGGCACATTGTTGACTTCTAGATTGCAGTCGCCAATGCAGTGAAACCCCAGGCATGGTCAGAAGAAAAAGGGCATGGCGTTCGGGTTAGTGTTTCTTCTACTTACAGGGTATTTTGCATGGGACAATTTCTTTCACACGGCCGGCTATTCTATCACAAGGGAGTACATTTTCCCCAACGTGATAATAAGTGTGTTATTAGCCTCCCTTTTCATATTGACGCCCTTGTTATCAGAACACCAGGTCTTGAAAGTGTCTTAGTAAATAGCTGGTCCACACCCCTCATTTTACAGATGAGCTCTTGAGAAGCTAATCGGTCCTTTTTTTTTTTTTTTTTGGTGTCGAAACCCGGGAATGAATAATCAGTACTTTTTAACCAAACCAAACCCAGCACACACACTTGGTATAGGATAATCTCATGGAATAAGATGATCTCAGTCTTTTAAAAAAATTTGCTAATTGTTCCCAATGATATATTCCCCCCCCCTTACATAATGTCTTTTTGTTCATGACCTATGAATGAGCTGAAATACCAAGAAAGAGTTGTCTGTGGGTGTATTTTTCTGGGGCCTGGCTCCCCAAACCTCAGGCTCTTGACATGTGGTCCACAAAGGGCACATGGAGCAGCCACTGCCCAGCATGGGCCACAAAACAGTGCCTGGCCCATGGCAGTAATTTAGTCCCCCGGTCACAGCACCCAGGCTCCCCCACCCCCCTGCCTACAACCTGTCAGAGTGCCCCTTGGGAAGGAGGCTCACTTGGTATCCAAAAGGAAGGTTGAGTTCTCTTCAGTCACACAAGGATTCTATTCATTTCAACCACTTTCAAGTTCAGATGGGAGAGCATGTTTTGGAAATAAAAAGGCCTGACTAGCACAAACATCTCCTCTCTGATTTGACAACCTCTTCTGAAGAGTGAACCACATTTGGTACAAATCCACTCTTGACCCCTTCCCAGCCCTCCTGGATTGAGATATCCCCCCTTTTAACCAGCTCATATATGTCTTTCGTCAGGTCTGTGAAGGCTTTCTCCACATTAATGGCATCTCGGGCTGACGTTTCAATGTACTTCATGCCGTACGCAGCAGCCAGTTTCTCTGCTTCATGGCGAGTCACTTGCCTCTGTGTATCCAGGTCACACTTGTGACCCACCAGAACAAATACAATTTGGTAGGGCTGAACGTGTACTTTGGTCTCTTCTAACCACTCATGGACATTCTGGAAGGACCTGCGGTTGGTAATGTCAAATAAGAGAAGACCACCTACTGAGTTCCTGTAGTAGGCTCGAGTGATGGATCTAAAACAAAAGAAAACAGTAAAGAATAAAGGCCACGCCCCAAATCCTGTATTTCTTTTATATTTTTGTTGTTGATATCCTCACCTGAGGATATTTTTCCATTGATTTTTAGAGAGAGTGGAAGTGAGGGGGAGAGACACACAGAGAGAAACATCGATGTGAGAGTGATGCATCGAGTGGTTGCCTCCCACACCTGTATAGATCAGGGATGGCTATTGAGCCTGCAACTGAGGGACATACCCTTGACCAGAATCAAATCCAGAACCCTTCAGTCCATGGGCTGATGCAACCTGAGTTGCAAGGGCCAGCCCCAGTTGGGACACTTGCGAGAGGCAACCAATCGCTGTGTCTCACTCACATCAATGTTTCTCTCTCTCTCTCTCTCTCTCTCTCTCTCTCTCTCCCCTCCTGTCTCTCTAAAAAAATTAATTGAAAAATATCTTTGGGTGAGGGTTTAAAAAAATAAATTTATGGTAGTTGACAGAAAAATGCTCATAAATATATAGGTATATTGCAATTCTCATGACCACATTTGTCTTTCTATTATTATTATTATTATTATTATTATTATTATTTAAATATAATTTTATTGATTTCAGAGAGGAAGGGAGAGGGAGAGAGAGATAGAAACATCAATGATGAGAGAGAATCATTGATTGGCTGCCTCCTGCATGCCCCCCACTGGGGATCGAGCCCACAATCCAGGCATGTGCCCTTGACCAGAATCAAACCTGGGACCTTTCAGGCCGATGCTCTATCCACTGAAGGGCTAGGGCCCTTCTATTATTATTATTATTATTATTACTATTTCAATCTAACAGGGATCTTCAGTCTCTTCTGTGAGGAGAAACACAACTTTGTTTTTATTTTCCAGGCCATTGGGAATAGGAAAGAGAGAGACCGTCTGTAGAGGGCTCAAGCAAAGTGCCTATCAGCCATGTTTCCTGGCACATTTCAGAGGCTGAATAAGGAGGCACCAGTTGGGAAAAACCACCTAAATAGCCAGAGCTTCCCTTTAAAATGACATGATTTATTTAAAGCATTGCAATTAGAATACATTTGCTGTACTTCTTAAACAGAAGAAACCTCATCTTTTAAACTTCTTGATTAGAGGAGCTTCATTATCAATATACATTATACTACTTTGCTTAGAGCATTTTAAAGCTTATTAGAGGCTATAGATTATTTGCTTCTATGACTTGCTTTAGACCAGGGGTGGGGAACCTTTTTTCTGCCAAGGGCCATTTGGATATTTATAACCTCATTGGCGGGCCATACAAAATTATCAACTTCAAAATTAGCCTGCTGTGTTTGGTCAAATATTTAATGAACTCATCCCTAATGCCTTGGCAGGGCCAGACCAAATGATTTCGTGGGCCTTATATAGCCCGTGGGCCAGACATTCCCCACCCTTGCTTTAGACTATTGTGCTTTTTGACTACGTCTGTTTTTAGGTTTCTGTCTTCTTGGATGAAGAAGACAAACATGAGCGATTCATTTTTGCCACTTAAGGCTTAAGGCAAATGGCCCAATGGTAACAGAACATTGTCCAGAGGATTAAAGTCCAAACTAGTTGATGGCAAGAGCCAACCTTACAAATGAGATCAAGTTTCTAGCACCAGGCAAATCAGCCCTAGGGAATGAAAACAATTCTAATTCCCTTGTGTTTGAAGACTCATGGATGCAATGATCAAAGGTTTTGATTTGTGAACAGCTTGGCTCAAGAAATCAATAAGCAAGCTGTAGATCCCTTCAAAACTCTAAAATACATCATTGCACTAGTAATTAGAACGTAACAAAGCCCTATCTAAACACAACATAAGGATGCATAAAAATTAAAACCTGTACCTCAAAACATTTTCTTGAACAAAGTTCGAAGGCAAACGACAAACTGGGCAAATATTTTACTATGTACGTGATAGAAAAGGATACATATTCCTAATCTAAAAAGAACCTTTACAAATCAATATCACCCAATACCAATAAGCAGTGGGTATAAAAAGGCTCTTCATACAGCGGTTCCCATAAATATAAGAAGACACCTTTCTTCACTTACGGTATGAGAAATGCATTCTCAAGTTCAAAGTGAACCTGTACAGGGTGTTTGCCAGTGTTGTTTGTGGAAGTGGGGAGTTGGAGACAACTTAAGTTTGTAGTTATCTCTTCTCCCTATCCGCTCTTCAACTACCTCACCAGTATGTTCTATGCCGAACTGGTGTTCAATAGATAAATGAATAAATGATCAGAAACATGGGTGATGCTCTATGTGACTTTAGCCCAAGTTGCTCTCTCAAAGTTTTCCGTGTACATTGCTCTCTGCCACTTCTGTCTATAATTATACACGCTGTTTCCTCTCCCTGGGCTTTTTTTCTGTCCTACCCATCAAGCCTCATCTCCTCCAGGTAGCCTTCCCTCCCTCTGTAATTGCAAACGAGACACACTCCAAAGGAAAAACAAAGGGTTGTAGGAGAAAATCCAACCTGTTCGTTGGTTGCTCACTATGTGGTACGAGTTCTAGTAGGGAGCGAGCATACAAATATAAACAAGGTTCTCTGTTGTGTAATTGCTGATTGTCTGTCCCCCTCCCCTCCCCCCATGTCAGCACAGAGGTTCGAAGAGGGAAGGGCCTGTGTCTGTTTTGTTTACATGGCATCCCCTTGTGTAAGTTTCCTCAGAAACCAGCCCGAATCTGGCATGGAGTGGATGATCACCGGATGTGTGCTGGTTGCAAGAGGGAATCAATCATTTAGCATCTGTCATATGTACGTATATATAAGGCATAGATGTATATATCTGTATCTATATATGGAACACAATACAACTCTATCTGTACCTATGCCTGTCTCAGGACCATCTGTATATACCTGCCTATCCATGTTGGGATGACCTGGGAACATTTTTAAAAGTATGTAGCAGAGGGACTGAGATTGATGAATGACAGTGATCAATTCCAACTGATTTGTTAGCCACCCAGGGGCAGGGTGGGAGAGTTGCTGTGCAAGCAATACGTATTATTGACCGGCCTTCCCCGCCAGGGCGCTTCTGTCCCTGCAGGGAGCTCCCAGCTAGCTGGAGGGGGGCTTCATCAGAAGCCCCCAGACCTTCGGGATCTCTCTACGGGTGGGCGGGCGCGACCAGGACCAGGAAGTCCTCTATCCCCAGGGGCTTTGCCAGCTCCGAAGACCCTCCCACTGCTCGCGGGCCCCGGCTGCGCTCCCACCTGAACCTCTCTTGACCCGCGGTATCCCAGATCTGGAGCTTGATGCGTTTTCCGGGCTCGATCTCCACCAGACGGGAGAAGAAATCCACTCCCACGGTGGGGTCCGAAACCTGGGCAAAGCGGCCCTCGGTGAAGCGGCGGATCAGACAGGACTTGCCCACCGTGGAATCCCCGATGACAATGAGCCGGAACTGGTACAGCCAGATGGCCTCCATGGCTGGGCTCGGCAGGTCTCCGTATCCCTGGCCCTGAGCGGCGAGAGGGGGCGTCCCGCCGAGGCCCCCCCCCTCGGAGAGTGCGGCTCGGTCCGGATCTAGATCGGCTGCGAGCACATCGCTTGACTGGGAGCCCGAGGCGAGGTAGGCCCAGGCGCTGGGAGAGCGGAGGGATGGATGCTGCGCTCGCGGAGGTGATGAAATGGCAGCAGCATCAGCACCACGCACTCTGACTCATCACTGACAACCGGGTTACTGTAATCCCCCGCATAGACGCGACGCCTGGAGCCGCCGCACTGTCTGTAAAAGGAGCGCACACAGAAATGGCCCCACACCGCTGGTTCCCTTCTCTAGTTCCTCCACCCCCCGCTCCGTTCTTAATTTAAAATGTTACCTGTCAAATTGCAAAAGTAGTACCTTTTCTTAAAACTAGGAAGCAATACAAAAATGTACACAAGAATAAAAGTGCGTAATTATCTGCGCCCCTCCCTCCCCAAGATATTAACAGCTTGACATATATATTCTTCCACATGGATTTCCTTGAAAATATATATGTATACATATATAATAAAACATGTGGCCCTAGCTGGCTTGGCTCAGTGGACAGAGCATCGGTCTGCGGACTGAAGGGTCCTGGGTTCGATTCCGGCCAACGGCACATGCCAGGGTTGCAGGCTCGATCCCCAGTGTGGAGCGTGCAGGAAGCAGCCGATCAATGATTCTCTCTCATCATTGATGTTTCTCTCTCTCTCTCCCTCTCCCTTCCTCTCTGAAATCAATAAACATATATTTAAAAAAAAACCCAAAAATATGTGTGTACACATATACTAGTACATTTATTGCTTTTTGATTTTACAAAAATTGGATTAAAATAGACCTGACACTCGCTTTTTGAAATTAACAAAAAAAAATCATAGACATCTCTCCATTTCCAACTAATCTTCATTTTGCCATTACAAATCCTCCTAAATACAGTCACACATACATTATTTCCATTAGAGAGAGTCTTACAACATGGCTTAGGAAGTCGAAGGAGATGAGTATTTTAAATGTAGTGGATATGGGCATTACATGTAGTTTGCAGAAATATTGACCAATTTAAATTCTAGTCAGCAATTGGTGAAAAGACCATTTGTTTGCATCATTTCAAGCATGGTATGCTATATTCTCTCATGATTCTTGCCAGTCTGCTGTAGTTAAATAAAAAAGTGTCTCTGCTTTATTTTACATTTCTCTGCCTACTAATGAGGTCAACACCATGTCTTGTGCATTGGCCATTTGTATTTCCTATTCTGGGAATTGCCTCTTCATATCACGTGTATTTTTTCTATATAATCTTTTATAATTGCTTTACTCATTTTTTGTTTAAAACCCCCCACAGTTTTATTGATATATAATTCACATGTCAATTCACTCACTCAAAGTGTACAATTTATTAATTTAATTTAATATTTAAAAATATATCGTTATTGATTTCAGAGAGGAAGAGAGAGGGAGAGAGAGATAGAAACATCAATGATGAGAGAGAATCGCCATCTTGGTTTCTCCCTGGCTAAGTTATTCTTAAGAAGTATTTTATTCTTTTTATGCTATTGTGAATATGATTATTTTTTCTAATATTAAAGCATTTAAAATTTTTGGAATTGTTTTCTTAATTTTATTTTTGGATTGTTCATTGCAAGTGTATAAAATACAATTGATTTTTATATTGATTTATATTTTTCAACTTGCTAAACTCATTTATTAGTCCTAATAGCTTTTTAGTGTATTCCTAATGATTTAGTCAAATGCTTCTTCTGCATTTGTTCAGATGATCATATGATTTTTGTTTTTATTCTCTTGACATGCTATATTACATCAATTGATTTTTGAATGTTGAATTAACCTTGCATCCCTGGTGTAAATCCTACTTGATCATGGTGTATAATTTTTATTTGGTTTGCTAGTAGTTTTGAAGAGCTCTACATTCATATTCATAATATTTATTGGTCTATAGTTTTCTTTTATTGTAATGTCCTTGTCGGTTTTTTGGTGTTTTGTTGTTGTTGTTGTTGTTAAAGCTCTTTTAAAGCTTTTTATAAAAAGCTTTATTGTTTCCATTGGTCCAATGCATGGGAGAGGGCTACAGGGTGGTTGAAAGGATGGCTAGGGGTTTCAGGGAGAGGCTCAGGCAAGAGCCAGATACCATGGGATGCAGAGGGGCCCTCAAAGGCCTCTGGGCTCCAAAGGCTCCTAGTCGTGCTTGAAGGAGAGCCTTTGGAAGAGATACTCACCCAACCCAGCTTGGGGTGGCCAGGCTGTGGAGGTGAATCAAGTGTAGCCCATCTTCTTGATGAGTTTCACCTGCTCACCCAGGACGTGGTTCTGCAGGAAGTTACAAAGCTGAGGGTCTGTGCGGGTAGAACCAGGGCTGCAGGTCCAAAAGGGCCTGGTTCAGGTTCCCCTCCAAGGCCATGGTGGCTTCCATGGCATCCTGAGTTTCCCCCACTCATCTTGGGGAGGCTTCAGCACGTTCTGGAGAGAATGCGGCCACCATGCTGAGTTTCTCAGCTAACTCTCGGAAGAAGTGGCCCACGCCCTCCAGAGCCACATGGTCACTGTGGAAATAGAGGCCCAGAGAGAGGTAGGTGTGGGAGGCTTGCAGATGCGGGTTGGCCAGGCGGTTGATGGCAGCCTCCACTCAGTGGAAAGATTCTGACGAATTTGGGAGCTCATGGTTGTTCGGCTTAAGATCAAAAACGGTGTTGACTGGTTTCAGAGGCTGAGGATGGTTCCGAAGGAAAAGAGATTGGAGGGTGGTCAGAGGTTCAGATTTTTTTAGTTTGTTTGAATCACTGCATGACTCTAAAGTCTCTTTTAAAATATAATTGCTCCACCTCCCCTTTGTTTCCTTTGCAATTTATTTGTTCAAGAAACTCGGTCTTTTTTGTCCTGTAGAATTATCCATGGTCTGAAATTTGCTCCTTGAATCCCTAAGGTATTGTTTAACATATTCTGCTCTTCCTTGCATTTCTGTAACCTGGTATTTAAATATAGGGTTTGAGAGATTTATGTTTGATTATTTGGCATGTGGTCTTGGGTACTTCCAGCTGGACACAATAATGTCCCTTTTTTTGTGATGTTAGCAGCTCAGCTATTAATAATCTTTTCTCAGATCCATTATTTCATGAGGGTTTACAAAAACGGTTATATTTATATTGTATCATTCTTTACTTATTAGCTGGGCTATTTCTATAAAGAGAAACTTCTCTGTATAAAGATGATTATTATAACCTGAGATATGATTATACATAAAACATAAAACATGCTTGATTCTTTCCCTCTATTCACCAGTTTTCAATATAATGAACTATTTCTCTAGTCTTCCAAATGTGACCAATAAGTTTTTCTCAAAAGGATCATTATGAATTCATGCATTGAAATGTATTCAGTGTGTTTCCACTTTAGTAATGTTCAAATTGTCCCATCTTTGGCTCCTGAGTCCCTTGGACAGGACCCTGTTGTTCGTTTCTAGCTTCCTTGCTGGTGGTATGATATGATGTTACAGCTTCACCAGGCACCCTTTCTGTCCCAGACCTGGAATCAGCTGTTTCTGCAAGGAGCCCTGTGTTTTTTCGTGAAAATGTTATTTTGCAATTAGGTTTCTAGGCATTTTCACGAGGAGTAAATGATCTTCACCGGGAGTAAATCCATTTCAAGAAGCCAGTTTCTTTGCTCATCCACAGAAGAAACTCCTCATCTGTTAAAGTTGTATCATGAGATTGCAGTGATTTAGTTCCATCTCCAGGCTCCACTCCTAACTCTAGTTCTCCTGCTGCTTCCACTACATCTGCAGTTACTTCCTCCACTGAGGTCTTGCACCCCTCAAAGTCACCCATGAGGGTTGGAATCGGCTTCTTTCAAACTCTTGTTAATGTTGATATTTTGACCTCTTCCTGTGACTCACAAATGTTCTGAATGGCGAATCCTTTCCAGAAGGTTTTCAATTTACTTTGCTCAAATCCATTAGAGGAATCAGTATCCGTGGCAGCTGTAGTCCTTGTCTGGTTTTAATATCAGGGTAATATTGGCCTCATAAAATGAGTTGGGACGTGTTCTTTTGCCTTATGTTTCTTGGAAGAGTTTGTGAACAATTGATATTAACTCTTTTTAAAAAATGTTTGCTAAAATTTAGCAGTGAAGTCATATGGGCCTGGACTTTTCTTTGTGGGTAGTTCCTTGATTACTAATTTAATCTCTTCATTTGTCATAGATTGTCTATTTCTTCTTGAATTAGTTTCAGTCGTTTGTATCTTGGTAGGAATTTCTCCATTTTGTCCCTTGAGTGTGCTTGTTAGTTCGTTGAAGTATACAGTAATTCCCCTTTATCTACAGTTACACTTTCCCAGGGTTAACTGTGGTCTAAAAATATTAAATAGAAATTTCCAGAAAGAAACAATCATACGTTTTAAATTGTGCACCATTCTGAGTAGTATGATGAAATCTTGTGCCACCCTGTTCTGTCCTGCCTGGGATGTAAACCATCCCTTTGTCTAGTGTATCCATGCTGTACACAATACCTACCCATTAGTCGCTTAGTAGCTGTCTCAGTTATCAGATTGACTGTCATGGTACTGCAGTGCTTGTGTTCAAGTAACTCTAATTTTACTTAATAATGGCCCCAATGTGCAAGAGTTGTGATGCCAGCAGTTCAGGTGTGCCAAAGAAAGGTCATATATTGTTTTATTTTATTATCAGTTATTGATGTTGATCTCTTAACTTTGCCTAATTTATCAATTAAACTTTATCATAGTATGTATGTGTGTATATATGTATAGAAAAAAAAACATAGTACAATATATAAAGGGTTTGACACTATCCATGATTTTAGGGATCCACTGAGGGGTCTTGATACATATCCCCTGTGGATAAAGGGGAAAGCTGTAGTTGGAATCATTTGTATGTTTTCATTTAGTTTTTGGATTATTGTTCTCCTATCCTTGTTGATTTTATTTTATCTTTTTAATATGTAGAACATTAACATAATTATAAAATGTCTACACTATTCAAAAATATATGCACAGGAATGATAAAACTTCATCTCTTCCCCACCCTTTTTACTCCTTGTACGTAGCCAATGTTATTTGTTTCTGGTTTACTTTTTGTGTTTCATCTATAAATGTTCTTTTATTTCCCTTCATTTGTTACATAAAAATTAGAGGAGAATAAACTTCTCTAGACTTATCTTTTTAACTTAATGATAAACATTCTAGAAATCACAGTTTGGTTCATAGAGATTTTCCTTATTCATTTTCATAGCTGTCTAGTAC